ACCCAGGTTAAAATATAACACATTCAAAGCAAATTGGCATTAGTACTCCTCAGTTCTAGAGAAAGAACTTTCAGCCCTTCCCCTGTTCAGAATGTTCAGGTATACTCTTCTTTAAAAAATGCTATTTTTTCTGCTGCCAATAAGACAATTCCCATCAAAAAACCTTATAAATATAATGCTGCTTCACCGCCTTGGTGGGATCAAGATTGTTCTGTAGCATGTAAGAAGAGAAAGTAGGCTGATTTAAGATATTCCCACTCTATGAACATTGAAAACTATTGCTATGTAACTATTTATTTATTAAAAAAAGTTGCTGCTGAAACATTAAAATCACTATCTGAGGAAAAAAGACTGGATGGCTTAAATTCTGTGAATCACTGTCGCCTAGGACTCATCCATCATTAGTCTGGAAAAACATAAAAAAATTCCGATTTTCAGTTTTGGCCTCTGAAAGTTTTACTATAGTCTGTGCCAAATCAATTGAGAAAAACGGACAATGACCTCAGATATGAGCCGAGTGTCAAAAGGCGTAACTTACAAAACCTCAATTTAGATGTGATAACAATATTTAAATATTGATATTATTTACACTTCGAGTAGGTCAGCACATATGTTTTGTTTTTTTGTTTCTTAAATAATATTGTCTGTGGTTCCTATAAACATCGTAAAATCTTACGGTACATCGCGAAAAATGTGTTATATTTTATATTTCAATTTATGGTAAGTAACGCAGCAATTTATTTAATAACAGTTTCATATTATAAAAAAAAAAATATTTGAAGCAATGTAATGCGTTTGCAAATTCATCCCTTTAAAATAAACAAAACGTGCGTTACGACGCACTGAATAAAAATAAAGTTCTTATGTAATATTAAAAATAAAGTTTTATCTTTTGAATAAGTACATACTTATTCGGTGTCGTTATCACTCCAATCTTTATATGTGTTATAAATTAATGCTTTTTGTTGTTAAATGAATAAAGTACTTTATAACAACAGATGATTTTTCTTCTAAAGCGATCTCTTTCTTACATAAATTTTCAATAACAATTAATAAATATATATCAATCATTATAAAACAATAATTATAAATAAAGAAAGTACTATATATATATGAGGAAACCTGCATGTCTGAGGAATAAGAAAAATATTTCGAAGACATGTGAAGTTCGTCAACACGCATTTGGGCAGCGCGGCGGACACTTCCTTGCTCTAAACCCTCTCAGAAATGAGGGGGAGGCCTGAGCCCAGCAGTGGGACGTATATAGGCTGTAACTTTACTTTTTTTTACTTTATGTATAAAAAGTGCCTATATATTGAAGGTTTGTAGCACCTGGTTAAACGACCGAAAGGTCATTGTTCTCGCACGTACTATAGTAAACTTGTCCCCCCTTCAGTGCCATCTTACAATGAATATATAGCATTTCATTCACAGACCTTGCAGTATCAACAGAATTTTTACTCCCCTTTCTCACATGAGGAGTTATATACTGTTCTTAGTGCCCTTAAAGACTCTTCACCAGGGATTGATGGAATTCCTTATTCTTTCATTACTAATAGCAATGAATCTACGAAAACCCATCTTCTTTCTATTTTGAATGATATGTGCATTTACATGACCGGTATCCCTCCTGAAGAATGGAAATCCCAAATATTCACAAACCAGGTAAGCCTTACACTGATCCCTCAAGTTACCGTCCCATTGCTCTTTCTTGTACTAAGGCCAAAATTCTTCGAACACCTAATAAAAATCATTTGGGATGGTTTCTTGAAAGCAAAAACCTTTTAGCAAAAAGCCAATTTGGATTCCGAAAGGGTTTAAGATACATTGATAGCCTTAGTACTCTGGTAACTAATATTCATATAGCTTACTCTAAATGTGAATTCCTCGTTGTAGTCTTTCTAGAGATCTCGTCTGCATATGACAATGTACTTCTACCTGTGCTCAGGCAAAAATGCCTAATGAGCATTCCAGTAAGGATAGTAAATTTTGTCTCTAACTTTCTCCCTTCTAGATCCATTTATACTGATATTCAAAATTACAAATATTCAAATCTACACAATAAGCCACTACGACCACTTAAAAACACATTTTTAAAAAACAATTAATATATTTAAAAAAAAATAATAAGTTTAACAATCATATATCTTTCTGATGTCACTTCATGGTGATGTGCTTTTTAGATCATTTACATGTTCAATATGATTGTTAGATACGATTTTATGTAACAAAACATTTGGATTCTTGATTTTTAGGCGCTAGTAGAATATTACCTAGGTACGCGCTTTGCGATTAAGGCATGCAATTAAACTATCAAAAATTATATCACATTTGATTTCATGTTTCTTTTTTTCCATGTGCAGCGATTTTGGCGTCATGTGTCTAGTTTATTTCGTTTTTTGACGGTTTTATTCTTATAGCGACCCCGGCGTGCCAAGATTTTTAGCCCTGTATGAAGCGACTTCTGGACATGTCAGCAACACATGAGCTGCCATTTCTTCCTCTTCCATGCATGCCCTGACTAGGGGGCTATCAGTAACACCTATGGTAAACAAATGTTTGTTAAAAGAGCCATGTCCTGTGATAGCACTTGTTACTATCCAGATCTGTGGCTTGTTCAGTCTCATTAGAACCTTGGTTAGACAACTGTTTATTTCAGGCAGGGCCTCCCTAGCTTGTCTACAGTCTACTAAATTTTTCCAAAGTTGAGCGCATAAATTAATGAAGTATCTACGTACCAGTGAACGAACGTAGCCAAAGGGGATTGGTATTATAGGTTCCGGCCCTATACTTGCCAGAGCCAACCCCATTCTGGCCAGTTCATCTGCTGCATCATTGCCTCTAGATCCACTGTGTCCCTTGATCCATTGCAGAGTCACATTGTTGTGCTTACATACCTCATTCAAGTGTTGATGGCACTAGTATATTAGTCCCGAGTTTGTCACATTGCAACTCAGAGCTTGTAGTACCACCATACTGTCGGTCAGCATTATGATGGAAGACTGTGTTGTGGGTACCCAGCGGTGTGCATATGTGGATATTAAGGTCTACAGAGAAAGCCCCAGACCCCACACCTTCATTTGTCTTAGAACCATTCGTCAAAACTGAGCTCTCTTGGAACCAATCCTTCCAGATGGTCAGTTTCCTTCAATTGTATCCTATACTTCTTATCGAATACAAATTGTTTTGGAATCCTATCATACTTGGCTGGTAAGATAGGAATTTTTGAGTAAATTCTATCAATTATATCTGTATGGGGGACTCTACTCTTACTTAAAAGATTTCGGGTCTTGAGTCTAATGGCAGCTAAAGTTGCTTCTTGTTGTATATGTAGATGAAGCTGTGTTAGCTCCAGCATAGCCTCCAAAGCTGCTGTTGGTGTAGTCCTTATGCAGCCCGTGGCAGCCATACAAGCCAATCTCTGGTAACATTGAAGCTTTCATATAGTGGTGGCTTCATTACTTTTGGTCCACCATACCAGAGAGCCATATGTGATCATGGACCGAATTACAGTTTTGTACAGCCACAGTATAATTTTTGGCGTCAAACCCCATCGTTTGCCAATCATGATTCTGCATTGCCAAAAAGTTAAACTAGCTTTGCTGATTTTGTTTTCTATGTGTTTATTCCAGTTAAGTTTACTGTCCAAGGTAAGACTGATTTTCGACGAAGTTGGAGATTTATGCTGAAAAGACTTGGAAGATGATAGTTATTCAGCATTCGTTTTTGTGTGAACATTACTAGAACCGTTTTGTTTGGATTAACGGTTAGGTCATATTCCCTGCACCATCTCTCCACAATAAGGAGAGCCACTTGGGTCAGGTTGCACACAATGCTTGTTGTCTTTCCAGAGACCAGTATTGTCAGATCATCTGCATGACCGACTGTGTAGAAATGGTTAGCGTTTTTTTTTTTTTTTTTTTTATAGGATAGGGTGACAAACGAGCACACAGTCCACCTGATGGTAAGTGGTTGCTGCGGCCCATAGACATCTACATCTATCCTCTATTACAAATCAAAATGCAGACGCGTTGTCACCCGTGAGGACTAAGATGGAATGCCTCTTTTCTAGTAAAAAGGGTCTCCGGTTCTCTACACTCCCCATACGAAATACAGCAGCATTAAGCTACATTTCACGCGGGTATTCTGTGAGAGCGTGGTCCTTCCCCGGTCGAGCCGACCCATTCGTGCTACAACTATACTAACAACCAATACTTTATTACTTCTGGAGAACAGTTTTTTTTTTTGTGGTAGTCCCACATTGTAGTCGTATCAAGGATGCAACATAAATGCATCAATCGAGTACTGATTTACTAGAAAGGGAGGTAATGCTAATTTTATTTTAAAAAAATGTAGTACTCATGTACAATACAGAAATTTTCAATATTTATTTACTAGTGGGTTAATATTTAAAAGTAAAAAGACCCAATAATAATACAAGTTGGTTGACTTTAAGTAAAAATTATGGTATTTTCGTTTAGTATTACGATGCTACATACTACACACTATGAAATAATGGTACAGATAGGATAATTATACTATGAAATCCGACCCTGTTTATGTCGTGTTTTGACGTTTGTATTATGATAGATGTGCTACTTTTTCTTGTATGAAGAAGTTATGAGTAAAATATGTAAATGGGCGTATCCTTCTTTATGAAGTCATTGGTATCAAACCAACTTAGTGCTTGCAATTGTCAAATGAAAAAAATTTCGTCACAGGTAAAAATGCTGCTAAATTCCTTCAATTTATGTACCTCTTGAGCAGTGCAAGACATATATCGACGTGTACTTAGTGCTAGAGATCATTGTTTGTGGGGCCCATTTGTCAAGCTTTTTAACCCAGATACTGCGATGAGGCTTTTAAGAGACCCGAAAAAATTATTAAAAATACTACTTAGTACCTATCCTATATGTATGATTTCATGTGGTGTTGTTTACAACTAGACACTTGTTTATTTAAAGTTTTTGTGTCATTGAAGACTTAGGAGTATTAGTGTCATGATGTCTGGACAAAGGTAAGCTTTTATCATTTATATATCTGGATGTTGTTGCTAATACATTTTGATATTTAATTTTAGATATATTATCTACAATATCAGGTTATCTATTTGTTTTGGTGCAACAAAAACTCATTCCTTTTTCACGTTTCAAATTGATGGCCTTTTAAAAGTCACGTCGCAATATGGGAGTCTATAATATTATTGTTTTCTTTTTAGCACGCGACCTTTGAGAGCACTCAATCTCAACGATATAGTTGATGAATTAGAGCGATGTGAGGATGATGATTTGTTGCCAACTCAAATTACAATTTTTCCACCTGAGAATGCTAATGCCGACGTCACAGATGAGGATTCTGGAGATGAAGAATTTGTTGCATTGCAAAATCTACTAGGTAAAATATTTGTTTTCGGGTTGATATAACTACGTATCAATGATTCTATCTTGTTTTATTTATATCTGTTTTTTATAGGCTCTCAACTACGAGCTCCAGCCGAGGTCACTTTTCATATGAGTTCCGACGAAGAAGATGATGTACCTTTGTCAAGTTTGTCAAAAAGAAGACGCACGATGGATTTGACTTTAGAAGATAGTGACGCCGTACCTTCTTGTACTTCAGATGTGTCAACTAATTCTACATTTGTTCAGCCTACAGTTCCCCGAAACCAAACCTATAGATGGAAGAATCGTCATATTCCAAACCATTTCTATCAATGGAATGACGAACAAGGTGCAAAAACTTACAATCACCCTTATATTATTTCGACTGCTTGTTCAACAACAATGTTATTGAATTACTAGTGCGATATACCAATTTGTATGCAGGACAGAGGAATAAAGAGGGCAAAGTAACTGTTTCTGAAATGAAGTGTTTCTTGGGCATCCTTATGTACAGCGGGTATGTAGTAGTACCCCGTAGGTTTATGTATTGGGAGACATCGACAGATGCCAACTTTAGGATTGTGCACAACTCTATGTCAAGAGAACGTTTTACTTTTATTATATCAAATCTCCACTGCTGTGATAATACAGTTCTTGGTGATTCTCCTGACAAATTCGCTAAGTTGAGACCTCTGTTTGACGAGTTAAATAAAATCTTTACTGAAATGGCTCCGCTAGAAGAGAACTACAGCATAGATGAGGCTATGGTTCCATACTATGGACGTCACAGTTGCAAACAGTTTATACGTGGCAAACCAATTCGTTGGGGGTATAAACTGTGGGTTGGTGCTACAAGATTAGGCTATGTGATTTGGTTTGATCCTTACCAGGGAAAATCTTCAACCATTGCAGAAGGTTACAAACAGTTTGGTTTAGGTGGGAGTGTGATTTTGGAGTTTGCTGATGTTCTACAAGGTCATGATCCAACATTGCCATTTCATTTATTCTTCGACAATTATTTTTCCTCTATTCCTCTACTGCATGAACTTAGTAATAGAGGTCTGAGAGCCACTGGAACCATTCGTGAAAACATAATGTCCAATTGTCCTCTCGAGTTTAACAAAGATTTCAAAAATACTGATAGAGGTTCATTTGTATTCAAATCCAGTTTGCCTACCAATATTTTGGTTTGCAAGTGGAATGACAATAGTGTCGTTACTGTTGCCTCGAATACTGAAACTGTGGAGCCCTGCAAAAAGTCAAGAGATTTTCGCAAGAACTAAAAAGATTTGTACATATTGACCAACCGTCGGTTATAAGAAAATACAATGAAAATATGGGAGGGGTCGATAGATCCGATCAAAACATAGGGTTGTATTGGACTACTATTCGTGGCAAGAAATGGTATTTTTCACTGTTTTGTCACACCTTAGATATGGCTGTGCATAATGCATGGCAACTTTACAAGCGAGACAGTGGAGAACATGATCATCTCTCTTTTCGTAGACTACTGGCGGAAAGGTTTGCTCGAAAGCTACAAAAAAAGTGATAAGAGAGGACCATGTCCCACAGGTAGATCTCATCTTGAATCATCTCGATATGATGGGGTTGATCACTTGGTCCAGTACAGCGCTCCCCAACTAAGATGCAAAGTTTGCAAAGTTAAAAGTTTTTTTATTTGCCAAAAGTGTAAGATTCATTTACATCCTAAGAACTGTTTCCTTGAAAACTCAGTAAAGTTCACTAACTTTTGTTTGATATTTATATTTATATTTGATATATTTTGTTTGCCTTTACTGTGATATACTTAGTGAAGTGCCGTTGTTTTATTGTGATCATATCACATAACTTGCTATACCTATGTCTATTTTCTTTTGTATAGTTAAAATTTACCGTAATAATAAAAAACTAATATAATAACAGTTTATCGGACGACCACGGGGTTCATATTTCAGGTCGAAATGGGCAAACCAATGAAAGGTGGTGTGTTCGTTTATTAAATTTTTTAAATACCTTTAGTTTCATTTTCACATAAAAAGACTTGATAATTACAGCAATCAAGAACTCACCGATGAAAACTTATGAATTCTGAATCATTTTGCTTACGGGACGAGTGAGATTTGCATCCTCTTACAAAACAAGCCATCTTTTTCGTTAAATTTTATTTTGTGTTAAAATTAACAATTTTAATTTATGGAAAGTTATTATTATACTACTCACAAATATTCATTTTTAAGTAGACAATTCATTTATTCAAAGCTTAGTTTGATTAATTCAAGTTAAAATTATTTGACTAAAACAATGTCAACTAGGGATGTTCGATAAACATCGATGTTAAAAATTAAAACATCGATGTTGCCACAGGTCAAACATCGATGTCAATGAACCCACAATCGATATATAAGAACTTGTGAACAATGAGAATACTTTGCGCCCTTCTTTCTGCCAAGGAGGGTTGCGTCCGTATACGGCTTAGAGATCTCTAGTTAGACCGTTAAGCCAGTCCCTAAAAGGTGGGGTTTAGTGGGTAAAAGTCTCCACAAAACCACGCAGCCGGCTGCGTGGTATGCTATTAGCATTCTCCACCTCCCTCCCCCGCTTTCCGGAGGGTTGCCCATATTAGCTTCGTGCGCAAAAAAAAAAACAAAAATGAGAATCCACGAAATCGATATCAACAAAATCTTGCATCTCCTATTAAAGATTTAATATTTTGAAAAATGTCATTATGGCGTGTCAAATTTAACTGTTAAGTGTAAACTGTAATGTCACAGTTGTCACTGCTTTCGCTTTGTTATTCTGTGGTGTCGTTGTCGGTTGTCGCCTAATAACTATTGTACGTAAATTGATATTCAAATTAAATGTTTCCCTTGCTGTCTATACCCACATAATTTTTAAACAATATGTAAGTATCTACACAATGCAATTATATTTAGCTGCTTTTTTGAGCTTGTCATAACGAGTTTATTGTTTGCTTGAAGGTTATGAAAATAAATCACTGAGCGATCGTGAGCATAGACAATTTCACTGCAAAGTGCATTAGACTGTACATTTTATAAACGGCTGTGGAAACTTATTTCTTAGGCTGCCTGATTAAAAATTGAGAACAAAGCTGACGGAAAAGTCTATTATTTCGTTTTTGTATGTGTATGTAGTTTGTTAATTTTTCTCTATAATCAGATAGTAGTTGATATTAAAACTATGTCTAAATCGTAAATTACGTCTCACAGTAAATTTTTCATACCGAATTTATGAGTGTATGGGAACATTTAAAGATCAAAATAATAACATTCATTATCATTGGCAAAAAACATAACAAATGAATTTTTACACTTTTACCAATTTTTTTGATTATTATACTAAAATTTTTATTAATTTCTTTTATTTCATTAATAATAAACCATTTTAACCTTTTAAATATTTACATGTGCAAAAACATCGATAATAGCCAACATCGATGTCATCATCGATGTTTCTGCAAGATCGAGCATCTCTAATGATAACATGACAGCCGTAGAAAAATAATTTCCAGATGACAGACTACTAAGAGGATACTACGCAACATGGAGGTTAGAGAACAGGAGAACGATCGCCGTAGAAAATAGTGTTGCATGAATAAGTCAACTAGCGCCATCTAGTGTCAGGAACGAGAGCGAGGGGAGCTTTGCAGTAAATGACATCACAAATCTTTCGACCGACAGCGCCACCCGAAGAACTAAGTTTCTGGAAAATCTACACTCGAATACTCGTTGCCTGGCGCGCATTTACTTGAATGTTCGGGACGCTTCTTTGCTAATTATATAAATAGGCGCTGCAAGATGCGATCGGGGCAGAGTTGAACTCGGCGACACAAGCGAAGCTTCGGAGCGGAATTAAGTGAATTAGTGTGTTTAATTATTAGTGTTTTTAGTTTTAATTTGTGTAAAGTAAATTAAAGTGTTAATTTAGGTAATTTTATCGGCAATTTTTATTGTCACGAACCTCAAGCTCGTAACAATTGGTGTCAGAAGTGGGATAAAATCATGCCGATTTTACCTAAGGAGGAAACGGAGGGTGTTCGTACCCGCAGTCAACGCCAGCATGAGACGGACCAGAGAAGATTTGGTGGTGCAACGCCGCAGACGTCGGAGGGCCAGCCGCCGGCAACCGTGGCCGGTTCGTCAGTAGCTCCTGCATCTGCAGCACCTGATTTAGGCGCCCTGATGGTGATGCTGCAGGAACAGGCTCGCCGACAGGAGGAACAGGTCCGTCAGTTGAAAGAGCAGCTGCAGAGCGGACAGGCAGAACAGGCCCGCCGACAGGAGGAACAGATGCTTCTCATGAAGGACCTTCACGCTACCTTCGGGAAAGAGATAAGGGAGGTGAAGGATAAGGTTGCTCAACATGAAAACCGCCTGTCGGAAGCTGAAACCCGAATTGACCAAGTGAACAATCGGGTTGACAACGTAATGGCTGACATGAGGAAATCACTTCACGAACTCAAACTTGGGGAGGGAACTACAGCTCCCGTAGTAGCTACTACACCTTCGCTACGTGGGTTCAAGGTGCCACCATTCGACGGGACTTCTTCCTGGTCGGCCTACAAAATCCAGTTCGAGGCTGTTATGAAGGCGAACGGCTGGAATAAAAGTCAGGCCATGACTGCTCTCACACTAGGCCTGCGCGACCAGGCCTTAACAGTTCTGGAAGCTCTCGGTGAGGAAGTGACTTATGAGCAACTCCTTGAGGCATTGGAGGCGAGATATGGCGACGCTCACCTGGAACACGTCTTTCGTGCGCAGCTTAAAGATCGTGTGCAGCGCATCAACGAAAGCCTGCAGCAGTGGGCTCTAGAAGTGGAGAAGCTGGTGCGAAAAGCATACCGGTCTGTACCTGCGCTCATTGAAGGGAACCTGGTGCAGACATTCATCGACGGCATCCGCGACCTGGAAGTCAGAGCTGCTGTGAGGCTCGGGCACCACGAGACGCTTAAGGACGCCTTGGCCCATGCACTGGAGGTGGAAGCCGTGCGGCAGGATCATCGTTCCCATCGCGTCAGGGAGGTTGCAGCAGCTACAGTTCGCGACCGCAACAAAGGATATAGCCCAAGGTGCTATGGCTGTGGGGAAAAGGGCCATCTTCGATCCAGCTGCCCTAAGCGAACCCTAGAAAGGGAAATTGAACGATCTCAGGAGGGTAGTGCGGCCAACAGCACCGCCCAGCAGCGGCAGGGAAACGAGTAAAAGCCAGAACTGAGGGGCGGGTGCTGGCTGATGTTAAAAGAGCCCCAAGGATCTCGATCTCACAAACCCATGATGGGAACAGCCTAATCATAAAGGGCGAGATCAACGGAATGCCGTGTAAGCTGACCATAGACACTGGAGCCTCTCGTACGGTTGTTAGTTCCCAACTTATAAGTCAGTTCCTTGGGGACTCCGCATACAACCGAGAACGCATTAATTTGGTAACAGCCACCGGTCAGCGTATACCCGTCCGTGGAGAGAAGGGATGAAGTTGAAGCTAGGCAACGTGATCTACCTGCATAATGTCACCGTGGCTGATATAATGGACGACTGCATCCTAGGCCTAGACTTTATGAGGAATAATTGTTGTGAGATCGACGTTAAGCAAGGTGTTTTGAAATGTGGACAGGAGGAACTTTTTATGGAAGGTGCGTTACCAGGGAACGTGTACAGCATCAAGAAGATTGTTCTTCCGCCGAGATCGGAAACGATTGTTCCGGTTAGTCTTCCTCGAAACGCTGGGCAAGCTCACCGTTGTGTACTTGTGGAAAGGGTAAACAATGACCTTCCACGGAAAGTAGCTCGAACTTTGGTCAGGACCACTGATATCTCAGGAGTACGTATGCTGAACCTTTGCGACCGGGAACAGATTATAGAAAAAGGCACACTGGTTGGTACTTGTGAGGAAGTGGATTGGTTACGTCAGTGCCAATATATATCGAGTGGGACCCCCAGCAAGGATTCAGAAACGAAAGTGACCACACTTTTGGAAGACTGTCGCAGTGTTCTGTCCCCGAACGAATTGGTCAAGGCGAAGAAGTTGTTACTCGAGTACGCCGATGTATTCTCATCAAACGATGCTGACATAGGAAAGACTGGTTTAGTTCAACACAAAATAAACAAAGGTGAAGAGTTGCCTATCCGTCAGCGGCCAAGACGATTGCCGGTAGCACGTGAAAAGGAAGTGGAAACCATGATTAAGGGAATGGTGAAGGATGGTGTTATTGAACCTTCATCTAGTCCATGGTGTTCACCCGTGGTACTGGTAAAGAAGAAGGACGGCA